TTACTGCGTTTTCCTTATTCTAAACAGTTTTTTCGGCATCTTTTTGGACTTTGCATCGATTTGCATCGACTTCCGACCGCGAGTCCCTAATTTCGCTCAAGAATTTGGGTCATTTTGCGTTGTAAAAATCGCTTAAATCGAAGCTTATTTAATTAACTTTACCCTGTAAAAAATTTCTTAAGGTAAAGAAGGCCGACCGGATCATTTTCACTTAATGTTCGGAGGGTCTAATTCCACGAAAACCCTGTGAAAAATGGAAAATAAAGTTTGTTTTTGCCATAACCCGAGAACTACTATAGAAACAGGGCTAAAAGTCAGGATTGTTGTTATTTAGGGTCTGATACACCTCTGGTCCAAATTTGGGACCGATTGGATGTAACATGGCGAAATGCCAGATGGTTCGTGTTTTTTGGGACTCCCCGTATTTGCATGGTTTGGTATTTACCGTGGGTTTTTTCGTTTTTTTCCTTTTTTCTTTTTTGTTTCCCTTTTTCTTTGTGTTGGGTTTTTTCGGGGGGGCGGGTTTAACCGTGGAAAGCTAATTTTGTGTTTTTGCTGCTATACGATGCACCTGTTTATCAGATATAATTTATTTTTAGAGCGTTTGTATTTTCTTATAGATACAAAGTTTTGACAAAAACTTTTGGGGACTTCTAAAAATTGGCGGATTCGAATTTTTAGTCCTTTTTCATAAATTTTTCATTAAAAAAATAAATGGTTTCAGATCAAAAAGTTTTGATCATTTTTACGTGCGCTTTTTATTTAAAAAAAACTGTGTAAACTGGTCTAAAAATGGGGTATTTTTGTAAGTGCTTACTGGGAAAAAACTGGCTCTCTTCGCTAAAACCCCCAGATGCTAACAATCCAGTTTCGAAAAAGAAATAAAAATGGATTTTTCGTCTTAGAAAACCATCAGAACGATCCTTTCAATCAGATCTGCTAAACTTTTGATCCCACCAACCTCTTGATCTCTTGATTTTCCGAATTTTCATCCCCACCCCGGGCCAATCTATCGAGGTACACTTTCGCCTCGTTTATTGCATACCCAGACCCTATCCCTGCTTCCTCGGATCAATTGTTTTCGTGTAAAGTGTTTGAGTGCGACCAACAGGGCCGAGAAGACTCTTGCCCGCCGCGAAATTCGAAACAAAATATGCAGTGCAATTTTTAATGGCTTCCGGTATGGAGACAGGCAAGTCAACAAGGTGGGGGTGGGACATAGATTGAAACGGGGGCTTTATAAGATTACCAAATGGCTAAAAGGCAATGTGTCCCCCACTCGACAGTGCAATGTCGGCTCTATCAGAAGATAGGAAATTTCGACATCTTTTGAAATTTATCATGCTTGATTTTTCAAGATTGCCCTGTTGCTAGCTAGCCTTTTGCCGAATCTAACCCGAGCTTTTCGGAGTAATTCAATTACCTTGCCACGCTGGCAAGTTTTAACTTGCGAAAACTAGGAGCGACTTTTTAAAATACCTAGAATCGAGGAAATAGTATAATTTCACTAATGTATAACTTATTAAGACGATTGCGTGGGTTCTCTACACCTAGTCAATCGCCTGCTGGCGCGACTGTGAAATTGAAGGAATTTAAATCTATCTGGGCGGTTGCTGGGATCCTTCAAGATTTTTATAGCACGCTTCCATCACATAATCTCGGGCTTCCACCAAGCGTTGCGTAATTGCCAAAATTCTTTATGCTGCCGTATAGTATCGTAATAAGTACTTTTAAAGAGCTTTCACGGCGCTAGGTACCCTTTCCTAGGTCTACACGTCGTGATCCCGAAAGATGCCCGTTAAAGACAGACTTTTGAAAAAAGAAGCCGGGTAACCCCCTCGGGGGGTCCAATCTGGCGGGGGTCCAAAGGGTCCTTCCAGGGGTGTCTCTCCGGTTATTGGGATACCCTTATCTTTTGCGCCATCTTTGACAGGCCTGAAATTTTTGAAGCTATAAACCAGGCAAAATTCGATTATCCGGTGAGAACCGTTTTTCGTGCCTCGTAATTTTTCGATGGCTGACGTTCAGGTCCCTTCATAACATCGAAAAGCACCGCTCGAACAGGTAGATCAGGTTTTAAGAATCGGGACTGATCGTCGGAGCTTGTTTTGATAGGAAATTCATTCCCTGGTAGACCCTAGGCACAGCTCTTTTGAGGATTTCCGAAACAATACGGCATTACTGTAGAATAATAGAGCGTGCCCCACCCCACCAGATCCGAATCTACGTCACGCCACAAAGAACACTACAGGCAAACGTTTTTCCTATAGTTAGCGCTCTCCCGAAATTTCCGACAACTTGCTTCCTTTGCACGATTTTGTGACGGTATCTAATGTTGTTGACGGGTGCTCCCCTTTTCTATAGAGTTGTTGATTGTAGGGATGTTGTGTTCGTAGTCGGGTTGTGCCTTTGGAGATGAGATCTTGTGTTGGGTCCAGACTCTGGCCTACGTATTCCACCCCCCCCCCCCTCCCGCCCTCCATCCTCCAAACAATTGTTATCGCAATTTCGCCATCTTTCACGCACGAACAAACTTTCCGGCGCCCGTTTCCCATCAGTTGCATCGCGCATCGGCGGCGCTCAATTTTTGGTGGTTGTGGGCGTGCCGAAAAACAGACCAGAGCAGATTCAAAAACACTGGACCAGGCGGTCCTCACTTTTTTCTACTGGGCAATGTAATAGTATACATAGTTACCGTAGAACTAGCGGTAAAAGACATTTAGAAACGTCTTATAACGTGCCAAATTACCAAAATACTGTCAGTTTTTAAGTGTCGTCATTTTACGGCTACAGTAGCGTGTAAAAGTACGCAATATTACGCTCCTGTAGCAACGGGGTTCGTCCCATAACTAATATACCGGGTAGCCTAAGAAATACCGTAGCGGTTAAGGTATTAATATAAAATACTTCTAGAAAATTATAATCGGGCTTCTACGGTAAATTCTACGAAATTTACAAAAAATCTAGATTGTTCACAAGTTTTACGCATTTTATAAAAAAATTCGATTTTTCACGTCGTTACCGTAATCAGGCGGATTAATCAAATTTGAATCTGCTGTTCTGTATCGATCAATTCACATATTTTGTATGCAAGTTTAGACCTGAAATAGCTACTAAATCAGCTCCTCGAAACGACTGTAACCACTGGTGTTTTTTGTCTTGATTCAGGTGTCCAGAGCTTGTTTTCCGCTTTTTCTCGTTTCGTTTTCCAAATTAAATTACAACCTTTTCACTTTCCAGTGACAAAATGCAAATCTGGCATATGGAACCGTTTGCCTGCGGAGACCGCCGGCTACCGCACCACATGTTCCCCCCGAAGAAGATGACGCCCGACCAGTTGATGGGCAGGACTGGAGTCCAGTGCTTCAAGGTAAGTCGAGGGGAAAAGTCGTGCTCAACTCCGATTTTTCAGGTGAATGTCGAGGACACGATGGCGATGAAGAAGCGCCTGACGATGGTCAAGTCTGAGCGCAACGTCAACTCCTCGGATTTCCTCACGATCAAGGAGGACATCTCCGACTTCAATGACAAGGTGAGGACGTGCAATGTGTTCCTGAACTTTTGATATTCAGCTGGAGGAGTTCTACGAGCCGATCGCCAAGTCCCACGACTCGGTGGTGTTGGTGATGGACGGGTCGTGCTATTATGATGTGGAGCCGGAGGTTGGTGGTGGTTTTGATGCAATCGGGGGACTTCAGGGCCTGACTGGTTAGGGATGCTTTTCGGCATTGTTTCAACTTCGAGGCAGCGCGTTTCAGCTTAATTTTCCGAGAGTTTGTAAAGTACCAGGTTGAGCATGACATCACCTCGTTAAAGGGAGTGTGATAGTAAAAAAGGACAAATCTTTTCAGGAGGAGGAGTGGATCCGCGTGCAATGCGAAAAGGGCGACCTGATCGTGATCCCGAAGGGTCTCAGCCACCGCTTCACCGTCACCCCCAAGGTATTTTTATAGGCAAGGACGTTTAGAACTAGAACAAAACGAGTTTATTACATTCTTGACGCATCCGGTTCGAAACACCTTTTTTGGTAGAGCCCATTCTTTGATCTGCAGGAGTTGCAAAATTAGCTTGACTAGGCCGGTTTGCCGGAAATTGGCCAATTGCGCGGGAAAGAGACTATTCTGCAGGGTAGACCGGCTCCATGAAAGTGACTTTTAGGCGAAGAATGAAACTGAAAATAGGAAAAATTAATATTTGATAATCGTGACGACACTAGCTGTCACCATCCCTTTAAAATCGGATTTTGGTGAAGTTTAGAAAAATTAGGAAAAATTTTAGAATTTTAGCAAAATATTGCTGTCACGCTCCCTTTAAAATATCATGACTTGAAAAACGTTAGTGTTTAATTTTATCTTCATGACCTAATAACTTATTTAATTTAATATTCAATTTCCATGACCTAATAACGTGACCAAATGCTTCTTCCAGAACTACGTCACCCTGCAACGCTTCTTCAACAAGATGGCCGACGCGCAGGGCTAAGACGATTCCGCTCCATTCGGCACCACACCACTACCGTAATCCCCTTCGATTCCACTCTCTCAAAAACACAAGACACCCGTGAACTGTGTACATATCATTGCAATGTGGCCGTTACTCTCTTTGCCTACACTTTTTTGCGGGATTCGAATTCTTAAATAAAGTTGTCTCCGTCTTATCGGCCTGGAAAAACACATCAAGTCTAGCCTTAAAAAAGGCCTACACCACAAAAAAGTGAAACTCACATACAAGTGCATCCCCCCTGGAAGTGCGAGACAAGATCAGAAAAAGTGAGGATGGTAGGGTGGAAAGGGAAAAACCGGGTCAACCGCCGCCCCATCTTTTGTCGCCTTGACACCACCCCCGGATCGTTTTTCCCTGGTTTTTCCCGCCCGAGGGGGCCACAGCCTACCACGATCTTCTTGCTGATCGCGGTGGCTACACATTTCACATTATCCCCCCTCCCGGGTAGCCCGAAATTTTTCATTCTCGCCACGGTCGACGGGGATTATACGCTTGGGATGATGCGCACGGCCGTGCTGGTCCTCGGATTTGCTTGCTGTAAGTCAATTTTATAAACTTTATCTGTTGTTGAGTTACCGCTTGAACATTGTCATAAACACAAGCATAAACCGAAGCCTATGCGAAGCCTAAGCTAAGCCGAAGCTAAGCCTAAGCCTAAGCCTAAGCCTAAGCCTAAGCCTAAGCCTAAGCCTAAGCCTAAGCCTAAGCCTAAGCCTAAGCCTAAGCCTAAGCCTAAGCCTAAGCCTAAGCCTAAGCCTAAGCCTAAGCTAAGCCTGAACTTTGCCTTGGCACGATCTTTATGCCAGAGCGATGCAAGTGAGTGTGGGAGAGTGATAGAGAGAGAAGGAGAGAGACAGTGAGCGAGAGGGAGATAGAGAGAGCTGAAGACTGGAGTCCTATACTCAGGCCCCCGCGCGCCTAAAAGGCCCGTCCTTAACGCAAGCAAAATCAGGAACCATTCCTCTATTTCGTTTCCCATTCCATACTACACCTTCCTTACAGCCTGTGCCCTTGCTGGGGACCTGTTCGAGGAAGTACGCGATGGTGAATTCCTCTCCCAGGCCGATGTCCTCGTCGCGCAACTTGCCGAGCGCCTCGCCGCCCTCCCGCCAGGTATTCCTGTTGTTTTCATCGACTTTGTTTTCTCGGGGCCGTTTTTTTGAGTGGAGTAGTACACAATAGCACCAACAAAAATGGGCATTCAGGGAAAGGAATTTTTGGAATGTAACGATTTACCGTGGAAAGCCCTGAACAATTGGTACCTTTCGTAGTGTTAAAAAAGTATTAAAAAAGTAATTAAAAAAGTATGGTGGTGACGCTACGAAATTTTCGGTTGTTTGTAGGTAATAAGTGCGGATTTTTAAGGAAATCCCTCAAAACTCGGATGATCATGCCAAAACTTCACTGGGTCTTTTTAAAAGTTAACAACTATTCAAAAAAAAATTCGCGATGTAATGCAAAGAATTTGTTTCAATGATCCTCCTAGAGCTCCGATCCCCATTTTCCCTCTGTATGAAGAAGAAGGTGGTCGTCGAGAGGTTGCCGGAGTGTATGACAGAAGCAAATGCGGCCGCGACAACGCCTGCCGGATCTGAGGCACCAACTACAAAGTTGCCAGGCGGAAAGTCCCCGAAACCCGGGACAAAGGTATCAACGGCTATAAACTACATCCTTAGAATCTCAAATGCCTATTTTGCTTATTAAAAAATATCAACTTTAGCTCTCCCCTGCCGAAAAAGCCCGGCTAGCCTTCCGGAACCGCCTTCTTGCCCTTCGGTCGGAGATGAAGTTGAATGGGAAAAGAACAGCCAGGTTTATATTTTCTTCTAGTTTCCTTAAACTACCCCTTTTAAGCTTCCAAGAAGCCATGGAGGGGCTGAAGCTCGAATTGAACCCGGCGACGACGACTACTACGAGTACGACTACGGAAAAACCTACGACTTCGAGCACGACTACCACAACAACGACAACCACTACGACAACCACTACGACAACCACAACCACCAAAAAAATGCCCGTGACCAAGAGGGCACATTTTAAGGCAAGGACAAAATAGGCCGATGGTTAATCTTACCGTTTTTACCCTTTTAGGTCCGTTCCGCGTCCTCAATGGCCGATCTGATGAATGAGAACCGGAGAACAGCATCGCCGGTGTCTAGCATGAGCTCGGTAGGTCCAACTCATCTTCCAAAATAATTTCTTTCAGTTAATCCTCTCCTTCCTCCGCCCCAACGGGACAGCCCTAGATGAGGAAAAGCTTCTCCAAAGACATGAAGACCTCGCCGAAAAAGCCAAAGCCGCCAAGTCGCCATCCCCCGGTACTAAAGCAGAATTTTTCGATGTCGGATTTGGGCCCAAGGGGAAGAAGGAGGAACCGGCGGTGGGTATTTCAAAAACCTTCTTGGAACTGGTTTTTTAGAGCGTGCCAATGGCCCGGGAGACGTATGACTTGATCGCCGGGTTGGCTGGTCGTAAGAAGGATGTCCCGAAGGATCGATCACTGACTCTGTTGAGCCCGAAGTTTGCCTCGGTTCTACCGGAAAGCGATGAGGTAGTTTACATCAAAGATAAACTTAAGAAACGGAATCTCACACAGTATGAAAAATCCTTAGAAATAATTTTTTTCAGAAGAAAGGCATCCTATCGCCCTCAATCTTTGCGCTCTACGAGAACAGCAACGAGGATCAGATCCTCCCAATCCCGAAGGTAAGCTAAAGATGCCTAAGCCTAAGCATCCTCGACTTTTTCCAAAACCTTGGTTCTAGGTACTCCGGCAACTGGGACTCCAGGAGAATGAGCAGCGACGGGTGATGCAGGTGGCCCTCGAGCTGGCCGGGGCTCGAAAGCTGGAGGAGCAGAAGAAGGGCGAAGAAGTACAGAGCGGGTATCGGGCATAATAAAAAACGGGTCGATAAATGATTTAAATTTGCAAAATACATTTCAATAAATCACACAAAACAAACTTCGATTACAAATTTCAGTCTAGCTAGCTATCTCGCTGAATTTACAGAAAACTTCGCAAAAGTTTCTAATCCGGCGTCGAAACATAATTACCATTTTCGATTTGCTTCAAGCCAACAAATGCCAGTCTCCTTTTTTGGCGCATTTCTTGTCAACCAGGCGGTTGATTTGGTCGGTTTTTCGATATCGTCGTTACGGTTATTCAGAGGTTATGGTTATGATGCCATGGCCATGGTTTTTCCTCATCTTCTCGAACCTCGTTTTTGCTGAGACAACACCGGAAACGCGGTTAGGTCCGGATGGAGAGGACCTGTCCAATGAGTGCCAAACGGGCTGCTTGGACTGTACGGGATGGCTATGTCACGAATGGGCCGACCAATACGAGCCCACCGTCTTTGGCTGTATCAAGTAAGCTTGACGGTTATGTTTCAGTAGCGGGGGGGTAGGGTTTCCAAATTTTTATAGCCATGGTTTTCAAAATTCTTTCAAGGGCTAAACTTCAGATAACCCCCCAGCCGACCCCCACCTACCGTATCTTGGCTCCCTGTTCATCTACAGGTGTGTGTGTGAATGTATACCAAAATACTCGCCACAGCAAGGCAAACATTTTGGTATACTTTACACACCTGTAGATGAACAGGGAGCGGAGATATAAAAGTTGGTTGCCGGCTGGGGTGGGGGTATCTGGAGTCTTACCCTTTCAAGGCGGCCCGAGTTGTAGTCTCAAAGAGTTGTAGCTAAAACAAGCCCTTTTAAAATGCTGTCAGAAGGTAGCTTGCGGCTCCCCCCCCCGCTAACCAACCAGATCCGGCTTGGGCTTCGCTAGTGATCCATTGCGGGGGCTACGAGCTGTGGTCGGACCGGTCGAAGCTGCGCTGCCAACGGATTCACAAAGATAATGAGTTAGCTAATGATTGTTACCAAGTTTGGCCATTTAGCAGCTCCACGCCGGCTGAATCGCGATGCAAGGCCGGTTGTGCGTCGTGCATGGTTTGTGACTTTACAAGGCCGCTTCAGAGAAGAACGAGGAGAAAAAAAATACTATTCTCACTTTCAGCCGGACAGTTCGTGCACGATGTGCAGACCCGGATTGTTGATGCGCAATGTTGGTGGAAAGAATCCGGAATGCATCAAGCGCTGCAATCAACCGTTTGCTGAAATTGCTGGCCGTCGATCAAAATTTAGCGAAACGACGGGTGGTGAACCTCTATTGCTCTGGGGCCGTGATCCGGAAGATCCGAAGCTGTGCCGGTTGTGTATGGTGCCGGGTTGCGAGATCTGTGACGAATGGGCCAGTGGTGAGGGATCATCGCGAAGCTATCTGAAACTTGTACTTTACGTGGAATCGGAAAAATTTCCCTATTCCGAATCCTACGCTTTTTTTTGGAATATTTTGTCCAAAGGATCCCTCTAAGAACCCTGAAAGCCAAAAAAGACACAAAAACAACTAAAGGCACCAAGGTCACGACGACGATTTTGGCTTTCAGAATGCCAACGCTGCGAGGAGGGCCGTGTTTTGGCAATTCGACGATCGACAACCCCAACTGATGACCCGATGCAAGCGTTGGAGGAGTGCGTCGAAAACACGACTGTCTCTACGGTTCCGCCAGGCGAAGTGTAGGCCTTTGTAATCAAAGAATTTGATAAACCAAAGCTAAATCACCTCCAGTTTTGCAGTGGCTACTACTACACGGTGCTGAACGGGCAGCCATGGCGGTTGGATTGTCCCTGGCAATGTCAGGTATGTTAGCTTCTCGGTATTATAAAGATTTTGCCGATTTGAGAAATTGCTCAAATGGCCCTTTCAGAGTTGCGAAGGAGGCGACGTATCTGGAAAGGGACCCTCTTGTACACCCAATCCGCCGCAACCACCGGTATATTCAAAGACATGCTATACTGCTTCCGCTAGACTTGCGACTTCAAATGCGCCGTCGGGGCCTGTGACCCGCAAAATCGTCATCGATGCGGCGCCTGCCGGAATTTTATGGTGGCCACCGCACTTGAAACGGTAGTTTTTTGCGGCATTGGACAGATTCGAAACGCCGGCGACATATCTAAAAAAAAAAAATTCCCTCCAACCCCCCCCCCCTTCCCCCCCCCGGTAATTTTTTATAATTACAACTCTTTACAACACCAAAAAAAAAAAAAAAAAAAAAAAAAAAACATTTTCAAATCTTTTTTATATTTTTTGCCTTTTTTCCTCATATAAAAAAAAATATATAAAAAAAAATAAAATAAAAAAAAATTAACAATATATCCCCAATAAATCCCCTTTTTCTTAATTAAATAAAAAAAAAAAAAAAAAAAAAAAAAAAAAAAAAAAATTTTTTTACCCCCCCCTTTCTCCCCCCTTTTGGGAAGCCCTTAAAAAACCCAAAAGGGGGAAAAAAAAAAACGCCCCCGCGCGCCGGGGGGGGGGGCTTTTTTGGGACATCCTGTATATACTGCACGACATATCGAGCTTTAACCGGTGCACGAGGCTTCCAGTAAACCTCGATGTTTCAGTACTGCGTCGACCGGTGCCCCACGGGCTTTGTGGCCGACGAGAAGCGCTACTGCGTGCCGGGTAGCCCAGATGATCACGCTACAAACCGAACCGCCGAAGGGCCACAATATGGCTACAATGAGAGGTACTGAGCTTGGATGCTCGCTCACTCACTCACTCACTCTCTCTTCTCTCTCTCCCTCTCTCGCACTCTCTCTCACTCTCTTGCTCTCTCTCTCCCTCTCTCGCACTCTCTCTCTCTCTCTCTCTCTTCAGACCTAACCATCCAATACTCTAGCTACACGAGCTCGGACGAGGGTGCTGAGGTGTCCCCCTCCGACTTGCAGTCACCCCACCACCACGAATGGGACGTGATGGCCGAGGACGAGCAGGGGCTGCTCATCTACTGGGGAACCGGCGTTCATGGCGGCGCGCTGGCAGTGGCGATTGTTTTGGCGCTTCTTCGTGAGCTTTTGGCGTTTTCTGACTGTTATTTTACCTTCAGAAATCCATTTCCGGAACGTGGTGGTCATCTACCCCGCGAACCCGCCCAATTCGTCGAGCCGGGGTGTCGGGAATTCGGACGACGGCATCGGCGAGTCGCAGTTTAGCCGGGTTGTCCGGCAGCGCTCCCTGGTGAGTTACAGTGGGGCTCCGGCGGGGTGATGCTGCTACCTATACCATCACGCTTAGCTGGACTTGTCGAGGGCGGCGGAAAGCCGCTTGGAAGGGTCTTGAGAGGTCTGAATGTATAGGAAGGGTCACGGTAAGTTTGGTTGTATCTAGTGAATCACCTTCTCTCTCACTCTCTCTCTCTCTACCTCTCTCTACCTCTCGCTCCCTCTCTCTCTCTATCTCTCTCTATCTCTCTCTCATCTTCTCTGTCTCTCTCTCGCACTAACTCTAATTTTGTTTTTTTTTCAGGTTCCTCTCCTACTCCACGTCATCCTCACCAACCTACTCCAAGATTACAGTAAAAACTCATACCTGTTCCACGAGAAGGCAATATTCGCCTTGAAATCTCGCTCTCTTTTCGATGATGTCTGTCCATGAATAAAGATCGTCTCTTACTTTTCTCTTAGTTTTTGTGCGTTTTTCCACTTTTTGCCCGGCATTTAACTGGCCGCCCAAGAATTTGGCCGAAAGGACACGATGAAACAATTGGCGTCTGGCCATTGTGGAGTTCGGCTAGAAAGGCCTGGGAGTTCACCTCGAAGGTTCCTAGTTTTTGTTGTTTTCATACTTTTTAACCCCAAAAAGCTCTGTTTTTGGGTAAAATTTGCTATGAATAAAAAATTATGTTAGGCAAGTCGTTTTGCCGATCTCGTGCCTTAGCTCGCTATGAATCTGGTAAGCCCTTTTTGAACCTCGGCAATTACGCCTAGTTGCTCTTTTGGAGGCGACGCAGTCAAATTGCAAATAAAAACCGAGTATAAGCCAGTAAAATCCTTATTTTTATGATAAAAATTTTTACTTGATTAAATGAGCTTAATGAGTAAATTTAGATGTTAGTTATCCTATGCACGCCATTCTTAAAGCGACGAGAAAGTTATGATGCTAAATTTTGTGGGATGAATATCCTATGGATTTTGCCGCGTACACACTCAACGCTCCGCTTGGCGTCAAAAACCAGGCGTAATCCATTACGCAATGGAAATGCGAACGCTCGAAGTTCTGAACGGCGCAGAATCCATAGAAAAACCAGGCCTTGCCGGCTCCGTTAAATCGGATTCCTCATCGAGCAGGCGAGTAGGTTGCGTGAGCGAGACACCCTTTTTCCCACCCATCCATCCCGAACAAAACGAAATTACCGGCTGGGTGGGGCCGACCATTGTCTCCGAGAAGGGCCCTCGACTCGTCATTTTTCAGCTGCAAAAAGCTAAACGACACTTGTCCTTCTTTGGCGTTTTCTGTCGCCGCTTTTTTTAACAAAGCAATTTTCGGGCCTTTTGCACTACGGTGCAGTCCGGAATGACGTTTTGAAACCTTGGCAAGTATTAATTTTCGATATGCTGTCCGGGAACTTGGAGGGCTGCCAAAAAAACAGGTACTTTCGGTTACCGCCGAGATCTTGTTTCGGAGCTCATTCTTAAATGCAAAGTGCGGTAGGCCGCACCGCCAGACAGCCATCTAAAGTTTGGTTCCGCTTCGATACGCCCGAAAAACACCCTCATCTTCGGGCCGGGGCGGCGCCCATTTTTGGCGGTCTCCCAAAACTGGGCCGTTAGACCGGGGATGTTTTCTTGAAAGCGTTTTATTTTTTTTAAGGGACCATGCAAGCAATGTTACCATCCCCTTAAAGGCAGCGAAAACGAGCCAACTAGCACCTTGTGCTTTTTTGAGCTCTGGTTTGGCCGTGGCTTTTGGCTTTTTAGGTGCTATTGAAAATTCAGCCCTCCCCCACCTGGGGCTCATGTTGTTTGAGCCTCGAACTTTTGTCTCCCCATCCCTGGGGCTCCACCAAGAAGTAAGGAGTTCCAGAGCCCATCCTCCTCCCAGCAGACCTCATCTACTTTTTCTTCAGCCCCGCCATTCCCGCGAAAATTGGCGCGTCATCCCGTAGCCTTACGGAGAGAAGGGGGGTGACTTCCATTTCTTTCTTCTGGGGAGAGAGAGCGAGAGAGAGAGAGAGAGAGAGACAGAGAGAGGCAGAGGTCATTTCGTTTCGGAGATTAGTTCAACTAAAACATCTACCCCTCTCGACGCCAGTCTTTTAATTATCTCTCCGAAATGACCCCTTCTTACCCCGGAAAAAGCTTCACTTATCCGCCCCCTATTAATGCGTAAATTACAACCATTTTTCGGGATTTCGCTGCGGGACCCAATTTCGCAGGACCCCTGCAACATTTCAACCGTTTGCGCCTCGAAATGCCAATTTTTCAACCCATCCCGACCCCGTCCAATGTATCATCTTGGAGATTTGAAAATGTCGTAGCTACTGAATCCACGCCCCGCTGCGGAAAAATTCTGCCGCTTCGCGTAGCAACGCCCCCAACCCGCCCGCCACCCGGTCGGCCCGCCCGACGAAGCCGCCAGAATTTTTGAGTGATTTTCAATTTTTTAGACCCGCTGGCGCTAGGCTACACACAACGGCGGAGGGGTGTCTTGTTTTTGGTTCCGGTTACGGTGAATTTCTCGAGATTCCTATGGCTTTTTGGGGTTTTTGGGGGCGTAGCAATGTCTGGGCCAGAATTAGCGAAGGTACCTCATCCGGAATTATTAGTTAAACCAGCGGGGGAGGAGCCGCTTCGCGACTCTCCCCCGCTGGACCCCGTCTAGGCCCTATTAATCGAGCGCCCTTCCACATACTGTTACCCTGAAGAAAAAAAAACGAAATTCTCATGCAAACCTCTTTGTATTGGCATTCGGCGCAAGCTTGAACTGCTAGTCGGTTATTAGGCCTGCGGCGCATGTTTGATCGGCTAGGTCGCTACCTCATCCTGCGCCCAAGCTTGAGGGATTAGCTTTCCTTTTCGGCCGGCGGTGCCAGCTTGAGCGGTTTGCTTCGAGATAAAGCCTGCGGCGCAAGCTTGATCGGCTACCTCCTTCTTTAAGCCTGCGGCGCTAGCTAGTGCGGCTAGCTTCGTTCTAAAGCCTGCGGCGCAATTTTGAACGGCTAGCTTCGTTCTAAGCCTGCGGCGCAATTTTGAACGGCTAGCTTCGTTCTAAAGCCTGCGGCGCAATTTTGAACGGCTAGCTTCGTTCTAAAGCCTTCGGCGCAATTTTGAACGGCTAGCTTCGTTCTAAAGCCTGCGGCGCTAGCTTCTACGGCTAGCTTCGTTCTCAAGCCTGCGGCGCAATTTTGAACGGCTAGCTTCCTTCTAAAGCCTGCGGCGCTAGCTTCTACGGCTAGCTTCGTTCTGAAGCCTGCGGCGCTAGCTTGTGCGGCTAGCTTCGTTCTAAAGCCTGCGGCGCTAGCTTCTACGGCTAGCTTCGTTCTGAAGCCTGCGGCGCTAGCTTGTGCGGCTAGCTTCGTTCTAAAGCCTGCGGCGCTAGCTTGTGAGGTTAGTTTCATACTTAAGCCTGCGGCGCAAGCTTGAGCCTCCTTAGCCTGCGGCGCAGTTTGAACGGCTAGCTCTGCCTTTGGGCCCGCGGAGCTAGCTTGCCCGGCTGACTTCCTTCCAAAGCCTGCGGCGCCAGTTGCAGAGGCTAGCTTCATTCTTTAGCCTGGGGCGCAGGTTTGAGCGACTAACTTCATAATAACGCTTCTCTACACCAACGCCCTTCGAAATCAACTTTCCGCTCAAAAAGCAAAACAATTACTATCCCCGGGAACCGAACCTCCGATGGATAGATTGGCAGGCTGCCGCGCTAACCACTACACCATGCAACGATTGAGGACGCGAGCGCGGTCCCCCTTTTATGCCTCGAGGGGGACTGCTCCGGGGAGGGGAAGGGAAGGCAGAAAGAGGCAAATCCAAAGAGACGACCACATTCGCGCGTGGAAGTGTCAAGGATGAGAAAATTTCTATTTTTTCACATTATGCAAATTACCCCCAAAAATGAATAAAACCGGCTTTAACTTTGTAAACTTGTATTTTATCGAAAATCTGAGAACGTCATCGGAAACAGAAGGGTCGATTCCCCCGGGTGACGGAAAGTTAGAGCATTTTATGCACGGGAAGGCCCTCCAATCGGGCCTCGAAAGTGACATCCACACACACACACACACAGTTACACGCCAAAATTATATAAGGTAGGATAAAATGGGCTTAATAATTAAAAGTTTTCAAATTAAGGGAGATTACCGGTTTTTAAAAGCTATTAATTACAAACATTTACTATATTGTGAAATATGAGGAAAATTTAAATTCGAATCTTGGAGATGCGATTATAGCAGACGTAAACCCCAGACCTGAACCTTTCTTCCCGAAAAACCCCAGACGTAAATATCCGCCGTGTCCAGAGCACAAGACCCCCAAGCACAGCAGCCGGATCGCCTTCTGCCTGGCTGACCACCGCGAAGACGCGGCGAGCGTTGTCAGAATAAATGCACATGACTGGCCACTCACTCTTTGCTGGGCTTTGCCTTGGGCCCGATACCACTAATGGCTGCAGCCACCGGGCGATTCTCATTCTTCTGGTCCTTCTGATTCGCCTGCCCCAACCCTCGGCTTTTCTTCTGTGGGACCCGGGAAGCACTCACGGCTGCCAGGGCCCACAATTCTTCCGGTTCTATCTGGGTTACTTTGAGGATCAAAGATTCGCCTTAAATTATAGGGATTTCGCAATATTTTCTATTTTGCTCTCTCTCTCTTTCTCTCTCTCTCTCTCTCTCTCTCTCTCTCTCTCTCTCTCTCGCTCTCTCGCTCTTTCTCTTTCTCCCTCTCTCTCTCTATCGCTTTCTTCTCGTCCATTTTTTTGATCAAAAATTACCTCCAGACGCACCACAGAAACTCCCGTATTCACGCGCTAAATATTCTAGCGCGTATTTTGGCGCATGGCGTAGTTTTGGGCTGGGTGCCGTCAATTCTCGGATTTCCACCTCGACCAGATTGTCATATTTCCCGTTTTTTTTCAACGTTTTTGGCTTGTTTCAAGCTGTATACGCTGAAAATGATGTGAAAATATTTATTTTCGGCGGCACCTACGTTAAACGAGCCCTACAAATTGGGTTTATTAGACCAACGGGGGATGCATTGCTTTTGCACTTTCTGTTGGTCACGATGCCCAACCTAAACGCCCTGCGAAAAGGCATAAGAAAATCAAGGATATTCCTTTCATCGTTCTCTCTC